CTCTTTTAAAAAAAAAAAAAAAAAAAAAAATTCTTGTTCTGAAACTAGCCCTTCAGGAACCCAACAAGGCCCTGACATTCTTCCAAGCACTGCAAGACATGTAAGAGGTCCACCTTCCTCCTGCAATGCCAGCTCCCTGCAGGGCAGGGGGACATTCCACCCATTAAAGCACTTATCCTAAACTTTAGAAATAAACAAACGGCTCAAGCGGTAGTGCACTAGCCTGGCATGCGTGAGGCCCGGGTTCGATCCTCAGCACCACATACCAACAAAGATGTTGTGTCCGCCAATTAAAAAATAAATATTAAAAATTCTCTCTCTCCTCTCTCACAAAAAAAAAATAAAGATATAAAATGTTTAGTTCTGAAAATGGAAAGTGAATGAAAATGAATTTCTAGTAAATATCAACTGTCATCAACTGAGCTTACAAAACCTAAACTTAATCGCTACTGGGCTAAGTGCTCAGAAATAAAGAGGCGAGCCAAGGCGCACACTTCAAGCCTTTCTTCCCCTCAGGAAGCTAGCAGTTTAGGGCACCTCTCCCCTGCCAAGTGGGCAGATCAAACTGTTCACTGCACTGGTGTTCACTGCATCTGAGACAAGAATAACAGCACTGAAGAGAGGTGCTCCCAACTACACCCCAATGCTGAAAACGGCACACAGCGCTGTAGACAAAGGTCATCATCTAACCTAGGTGCCAGACAAAGAGAGACCCGTTCTCAAGAGTAAGAGAAGTCCTGAGAAATACTGATAGTTTTGCAGAAAATGGCAATAAATGCTAAAAGGAAAAAAAAAAAAAAGTTACACGTGTGTGTGTGTGTGTGTGTGTGTGTGTGTGTATTTTTGGATCATCCATGATTTTTTATTATTCATAATATTACCCTCTAGGTTTAAGATCTGACCCTATCAAACCTTCTATGTTTTCAGGTTTTATCTTAACATCAAAGGCCATGTAACTCATCTACCCAACAAAAAAGCAGCAGTGCTCAAAGCAGAATCCAGGAGCCTGATTCTCCAGTGTCATATTAGAAGGCCAGTGAGAGAATACTCACTGTGATTTAAACAAATATACTCACACCCAAAACTGAGATGTGGTTTAGGGCAAAAGGTGCCTTGAGGGAGAATTATGCTACCAAGGTGGACCTGAGATGTTCAGCTGGCTCCTTACCACATTCTGCTACTAATTAAACATTTTATAAGCATATGAAAGGGAAACAAACGGCCATAGAGAGGAAGAAACAGCTGTGTAGAATAAACTACAGAGTATCTGTATAACCATGATACTAAAAGACCTCAACTGCAGCATTCCCTTGGGTACCATGAGGTTAACATGCAATACCCATCCAACTAAACCTCCACAAACAGTTGGTTTTCCGCAACTGTGGCCACTATTCCCACTTCAGGGCATAGCAACATTCAGAGAAAAGTCAGATATAGTATCTGTATAATAAACACCAGAAACCAAAAGAGCTAGGAAACTGGGCTGGGGATGTGGCTCAAGCGGTAGCGTGCTCGCCTGGCATGCGTGCGGCCCGGGTTCGATCCACAGCACCACATACCAACAAAGATGTTGTGAACGCCGAGAACTAAAAAAAAAATAAACATTAAAAATTCTCTCTCTCTCTCTCCTCTCTCTCTCTCTTTAAAAAAAAAAAAAAAAAAAGAGCTAGGAAACTGTTTACGGCCTTGCCCACCAGGATCCCTCCTCTGACCTAACTGTATAAGATGAACTGGCAGAAACCCAGTCCCTTCAACCCAGCTTCAAGGGTGAGGAGGAATGTTCCTAAACTAAGGAGGGCCCTCTCCACTCCTCCCAGCTTTTCAATTGAAAGGGTTTGGCAGAACAGATTAAGGAAAACAAGTAGCTGTTTTTCTTATTCAGACCCAACATGGAAGAACAATTGCTTTCAATTGTTCTTATACTTTTTTTTACAGACATTATCTCACTTAAATTCTCCAGACAATTCTAAGGAGTAAGAATTATCACTTCCTTTTATACATACAAAAATTCAAGGACAGAGAGGTTGAATAATCTTGCTGAGGCTCACAAGAAGTCACTGGCAGAGGAGGCAAGAACCATCACTTTGTTCTCAGGCACAGCAAACGCTAAAGGTGTGTAAACATTTTGATAAAGATGGTAGCACCTATAAAATTCTCATGTACAGAACTACAATTTCAGATAAAATAATTTGTCCTTGTCGGGATGTGACCTGAACTTCCCACTGCCCTGCTCCAAGCAGACTACACAGTTCAAAGAGTTCATCAAGTACTATATTTTCTGGTAAAGCCAAGAATAGCACACAGGGCTGCTGGCCCTGCTCCATGCCAGAACAGGCATGTTCTTTTGGATGCTGATGCCCTTCTGAAGTTTCAAGTCACTTGAGAATAGCAAAGAAATGAGTTAATAATTCTGGTAGACAGAGGTGAATGTGGGAAGTACCTAGATTAAAGGGATTTACTATAAAAAAAGAGCAAGACCATAAAAATTCTACAAAGGAAATTTTGAACCAAGAACACTGGTATCTTCTGATTTTTCCTCATCTTCTAAAGCAAAAATGAAAACCACCTTTGACCTCCCCTCCCTGAGGGCTGTGAATGATTAGCCTGGCTACACTGATAAGTAAGGAAATAGAAGATGAGTGCCTCTCCCAGCTGATTACTAACTATACTTACAGACTTCCCCTACTACCAAACTCCTCCCTTGTAGTCCAAAGAGAGCAGGACACTGAATGCCTAGCACATCAGCCACAGTAAACCTTCCATTTCTGCAAACCACTCTCCCATTTACTCCACTGATGATGCCCCCTGAGTAAGAGGAAGGGGCCAGAAGGGAAGGGATCAGTCACCACCAGTGAGTAATGGGGAAAGGTCTCAGGAAAGACAACCAAAGAGGCAGCTCACAAGGCTGGTGTACCAAGAGCAGCTAGAACAAGAAAAGGCTGATGGCTGAGTTGGGTGTCATCAATGAAGAGGGACACCCAAGAGTGAGAAGACAGATTAAGAAGTTAACTTTATAATTTCTAATTAGAAAAACAGATCAGAAGAGCCTTACCTAGGTTAAAGGTTAGTCAGGTCTGTTTCCACCACAGAGATAAAATGCTAGATAAAACTGTCTGGCTTTTTTTTTTTAATATTTTATTTTTTAGTTGTAATTGGACACAGTACCTTTATTTTACTTATTTATTTCTTTTTATGTGGTGCTGAGGATTGAATCCAGGACCTCACGTGTGTTAAGTGCGTGCTCTACCCAGTGAGCCACAACCCCAGCCTGTCTGGTGTTTTCTTAATGATAGACGGTAGACTTTTGACTTAATGTTAATTGTGCCACTCTAAGTACTTTTTAAACCAGAAAGATAAAAACGATTTTCAAGAAATTTCTTGTGTAAAATTCTTCATGGTTTACAACTTTAAGCAGAGCATAGGGATATATAAAACTTGACTTGAGAGGGGACAAGCTGGCTGTTCACAACTTCTGGACAAATTTACTCGCATGGACTCCTTTTCACTCAGCCAAACCAAAACTCCTACACTTAACTCAAGCCACTTTAAAAGTATGTATGAAGCACAAACAACTAAAATCCCCAGAAAACTTTATTTCACTGTCTCACAGTAATTAACTCTTTCCAATCTGTTTTGGAAAAAGAAAAAATAAGTTGATCACAGAGATTGGTTCCATAATACATTTTATTTTAATACTTATAAAATAAATGGTTTTCTCTCTCCCAACCACTCTCAATGATCCATCCCAGCATATGTAGACGCACAAAAATATAAATAAAAGCTTAATCTAATTGATATAGCCATCAATTGTAGTAGGCTGTGCTTAAAATCTCAGAACCTTTCTTTCCCATTATGCATCATCATGAGGTCATCAAGGTACTGTATAGTGAAGTATCCAGAAAGAGTTCTTAAAAAAAAAAAAAAAAGGAAACAGAAAGAAAGAAACAAAATTGAGTAAGAGAAATTGCTAAAGGATACCAATAGACAACAAAAGCAGACCAACAAAAATTCTACTACCCACTTTATAATGGATATTCTTCCTCTATCTTCCACTTATTAAAAAACAGCCCAGTGTATATGCAGATTAAATATCAACTCCCCTCTGTCCAACCCTACCCCCAATCCCAAAAAAAGTCCTGAAGAATACTTCCAGTTATTGGGTCCAATTGGGAAGGAATAGGAAATGGGAAAGTGGCTGGTCCTGTTCCTTCCTCAATAGACCCTATTCTCTGACCTAGCCAGAAGTCCACTCTCCCTTCTCAACACCACTTATATTCAGGAGGGTTGCAATTACAGGCTAATGAAACTGAATTCCTTCCAGCATTACCTTCGTACAATTTCATTCTGAAGTTTTCTTAGCAAAATCTCCTACCCCAAGCTTATCAGGAGTATTGTCAGATATGATCCCCAGCTTTGTGAAATACCAAAGGAATTTTTTAAAAAGCTCCCCTTAAAAACTTATAAAAACCCTTTGCATTAGTCCAATGAAAAGTGCATACTTTTAGGGCTAAGAATATTAAGAGTTAAAAACTACTCTTCAAAAGAGCAACTTTATAAGAAGGGGGGGATCCTAACAGAATTCAAATTACAGGGAATCACAAACCCCTTAATTCTCTTGTCTGGCTTGGTTGATGAACTTTGCCAATTACCAAATCCAAACTAGTGATAAATGGCATTTCCTATCCCAGCCACTGTGGTTAACATTAGGTGTGGTAACATGCCACAATCCCTCCTCCAATTCACCCTCTGCTCCCAAAGGCTTTTCTGTTGCTGCAGTTACAATACAGTTCTTAAGGGTGATGAACATAAATATGTCACCTTACCATCTAAATTCACAAGCTAAAATTAAAAGGAAGTGGGACCAATACAATTCTAGATGACAGCCTGAGTCTGAGCACCGCACAGGGTTAAAGGAAACCATTTCCTAAGATCAAATGCAGAGAAGCAGCAGGAGCAAAGAGGGAAAAAAATCAAGTTACATAAAGTCCGATTGTACTCACTGTTTCCTTATTGGGAAGCAGCTCCTTTCTAATTCTGAAGAAGTTCTTGCCGTACTGCCTGAGTCCCTTAACGAAGCGCTTCTGTGATAAAAAGAAATAAATGGGATGTAAAATCCAAAAAAAAAAAAAAAACCCAAAACAGGATGTCAGCAAAGCAAAGATATCTGCAATCAGCAGAATAACCACCACAAAAAAGTCTCAGCTAGGGAATATTGACTAGGCTGGAAGAATATTTCGGCAACACAGCTGGGACCCACCCGTGAGCGCGGGCCTCGGGCAGCCCCCATCGAAACCCCAACCCGGGCAGCACATTTAAGAGAAAGACATACTCTCTATATAGCTAAGATTGTCCCCCATGCTACCAGACGTAGTCTGGCCCACGAAGGTCTAAACAACAAATATGCCCACGTTTCAATAAAACACCACAACTGCTTTCTGCTCGAGAACGAAGCTTCCTAGAAGTGTTGGGCAGAAGGGAAACGGAACCAAACCTGGTGACTCTTCCAGAAGGGCACCCTAGGTGGTTGAAAGGCCCGGTTCCTTAATCCAGGAATTCACCAGGAAGGCACCGACATCGCGGAAGCCGGCTGGGAGCCCGAAGCCCAGGCGGCCTGCCCCGCCATCTCCGACATTAAAAGCCACTCCAAATAAAGAATCGCAGCACCCCTTCCTTCCTCCAGACGCCCCTCACCACCCCCCTCCATTTTCGCAGCAGTCTCAGACCCGTCCCTGAGCCCGGCCGGGAGACTTTCACTTTG